GCTTTCTTATTTTACTGCCCGTGGTGCGTATACTATTTTTCTCCTCGACGGAGGCGGAAAGCGGCATTTTCGTTTAGCGCAGCGGGAGGAAAATTGACGCTTTCCGCCCGGAGGTGAGAAAAAAACTTTATTGTATGCTCAGCGAAGTAGGCCAGAATCAGCTTGTTAGATACAAATAGATCTATCTACACGTAATTTGATCTCAGAAAATATATAGACTACGTTCTATTCAATTTTGTCCCGGATACTTTCAAAATCCAGGCATGGAGTATTAAATTTTCATGACTAAACTTGTATTTTGCAATAACACACGATAATTTGTATGTATTTCAGACAACGTCTAAAAATTAAAGGTGATTTTTAGGAAGTGGGGTCCACCCTATTTTCGGCCAAATATTTACTATTTTCTTGCTACGCACATAGTTCTTAAATTCATAGATACACAGAATGGCAAAAGCTCATCTGATAGTGATAAGATCTCATATAATGTTTTGATATTGTTTAATCTAGACAAAGCCCATATGAGCTATTCAGATCTAAAATATCAACCTCAATTTAATCTAAAACGTCATAGACTTTTTTTCTGAGGATTATAAAAGTAATCACCCCAGTCATTATTTTATAAATTTTCTGTGATAATTATTAACAATCAACAATTAATAATTATGAAAAAAATGAATAGAATCATGCAACGCTTAAACGCTGTTACAAAGGAACTGAAAATAATTATATTATGCAATTTTTAATTCTGGCTGTTACATTTATAAGCCAGGGAAAAAATCCTATTTAAGAAAGCTGCAATTTGCAAATTGAAATTTAATGTTGACTGCAAAAAATACGTTCAAATTTGTTATTTTGGCTATTTAATAAAATTGAGATGATAGTTAATCACTAAGAAAAAAATATATTAATAATATTTATACAAAAGAAAAGTTTAGATTCCAGTTGATTGCTGTGGCAACGTGGTTATTATTACTGAGAGTTACGTCTTTATTTTATTAACGTTGATGATGAGTGATATAAATAAAAATACATAAAGATATATTTCTATATAATTGTTACTTGAAGCGTAAATTTGCATTTATGTCATACAGGGTTTTGATCATTTTTGTGATGAATATCATTATCATTTATAATAACAATAAACAAATAACAATTGTAAATATTTTTTTTGTCAAAAAAAAATTGTTTGATTATTATTATGAATTACTTGATGTGCTAAAATTAATTCAATTAAAGCTCTTTTGCAATTATATTACTAATTAATGAAGTACAATTAATATTATTTTATATAACTCGTTAAAAATGATCTCTTATGAAAGAACCTAACACGCTTGTAATAAATTGTAATTATAAACAATTTTTATGTTAATAAATTATTCAAATTTTAATAAATTGCAAAGTTTCTGAATTACCATTCTTAATCAAACTATATAGTTATATAAGCATTATTGTATACACAACCATAACTACTAGATTCTAATTTCTTCATGTAAAGTTACAAATCTGTAAGTAAAACTGTGAAAGAAGTTTAATGACTATTATGACTGTGTGTTTAAAGGTTTGGGCTATCCCTGGGATTTCCCACTATATTCGAGCTCAAAAATATAACTTTTATGTATCTTCAAACTTGAAAATTAAGTAATTGTTAGAAATCCACTTCGTGAGAGTTTTGGAATTATGATATCTCCAAAACAAATTAACTGATTTCCATGTAGTTTTTAGAAATCGACGTCGTTTTTTTAGGTTGAGAAAAAATTGAATGATAGGAACAATCGGTAAACTAGCTTTAATTATGAGAGGTTTACACACACACACACACACACACACACACACACACACACACACACACACAGTGACATCCTCGTAAAAATAGTGAGAACTTCCTAGGACCTCAAAACGTGAAGATCTGATATGAACTTAATTTCCAATTTATGGAAATCATTAGTTTTCATAGCCAAAAGATAATGATAAATTTCAAATTCATCGTCTTGTTATTTAATCGGTTCTTGTAGAATTAGAATCACCCTTATAGTCCAGAAAATTTAAGAAAAATATTACATCTATAAAAACTTTATTACTTAAACTTGATTTGAGAGAAAATTGTAACTTTGTTAATAATTATCTTATAGCTACATCATATTATTTGTTAGTAGTACTTTGTTAACTCAGCGTCTCTACCTGTTAACAAGCATACAGTATATTTCAATAGAACCGGAATACAGCGTAAGTTTGTTATTAGTGAGTACGTAATATGGAATTTGAACATAATTCGTAGTTGAAACTGCATCATTGTTAATTGCTATTCAGGAAAAATATCTCGCGTGACTCACGATTGCAAGATTACTAATATTGAAAAATTGACTTTATGATAGTAATTTTTATAAAAACTGAATCATTTGAAGGCCAATTTGTCGAGACTATATAAGACAGTTGAGCAGATACATGCACTCAGAAGTAAACAGTTTGTAGTGACTATTCGAGTGCAGTGAATACTCGCAAATAATTTGATCTACTATAACACATCATGGCATCAGTTTCGACGACCGAAAACAAAGATAACAGTGTAACTTCATAATATGCTTATTTTCACAATCCGAAACTAAGAATTAAGTTATTGATGTGTGTATGTGTGTGTGCGTGTATGTGTTTGTGTAAGAGAGAAAAAAATTTACTTTCTTTTTTATTAGTATTTTATTAAAATTTTTAATTATCAATCTAAAAATTAATAATTTGAATGATTAATTAAATTAAATTAAAATTTTAAAAGGTAGTGCAATCAAATGATCCTAGTAATTTAATTCCATGTCAAGTGATATCACGACTATAAATCATACCGACATCTGATCTTCGGAAACGTGTAGTACACAGAGAAAAAAATTTCTTTTGAAAAATATGGGCATTCTTGTGACAAGAAATTAATTTGCTGGAAATTTTCAACAATTTCAACAATTTCTTAGCTGAAGAAATCAAAATTTTTCTCTCAGTAACATTCTTGTTGGAAAAAGTTTTCTATATTTGGAAAAAAACAATTTTAGATAGACAACTTGAGAATTTTCATCCAAAATTTTTTTTCCCAAATCTAAAAAATTTTTTTTCGACAGGAAAGTTACTGTGAGAAAAATTTTGATTTCTTCAGCTAAAAAACAAAATTATTGAAAATTTACAAATTGATTTATTGTCACAAAAATGTTCATTTCTTTCAAAAGAAATTCTTTCTCTCAGTGTAAGAAAGCGAAGGCTTTCAATAAGAAATAAAATAATTTTATCTTTGCAATCAAATCAATCAAAATGAAAATTTTGTTATTTAAAAAAAATAACTTAATAGCGTCTAAATAGTGCCATAGTGTTAATGATGAGTTGTGGTGGGATCCAGGGACTGTATCTTTAATTTAATAAACAACAAACTTTCTTTTTATCGAAAAGTTTATTTAAATAAACTCGTTAGCGTCGAAATAAATAACACATATATTTAAGATATTATTGGACAGCATTCTATTGGATTTAATAAAAACTTTGTGATAGAGTATTAACCTTATAACGTCTTATATCAGTACAGAGTCAATTGGAATTGCTTAACGCGTTAATTCAGCATTTGACCCAATGGTAAAATATCCATAGACAAAAATGCTTACAACAAAACACTCATAATTCAAAACGCGTTCGGTGAAATATCCGTTTATTTTACATGCTACTTGTATTACTCTGTTTAATGGGTACTGTTTTTATTATTTTATCAACAATTGTGGTATACCACATAATTATAATTATGTAATATTTTTCCGTTGCTTCTTACCATAGGAACTTTATACTTGGATTAATTGTTACAAAGCTAATTCCTGTAATCTAGTTCCTGTATAAGCGTTTTTTACCAACAAAGACAGTACCATTTTTCTCAACTGGTGCGATGAAACAAAAAAGCTTAACAAAATTTAAATACATGCATGATTTTCAAAGTTCCGTTCAGTCGGTTCAGCCATTTGTACTGTTCACATTTCTGTGCATTTTTAAGCCTATGCCATTAAAATCTATTAAAAGTCAACTTTGTAATTTATTGCTAATTCATGAAGAGTGTATATTTTCAGTACATCCTTAGTAAACTAATTTTGTATAAGTAAGCATAGCCTCAATTATAAAAGTTCTTGTAATGCTTGGTGTAAAAGAGATTAAAAAAAAAACTACTGTTGTCGTGAAATGAGAACACTAGAGTCAATTATCATAGAACAAATAATATTATATTAGTGCTTTTAATTCCTAAGAACCGTACTAACCCTGGTTAAAGATACCAATTAAAAAGAATTTAAAATTTTTCGGTTTTTTTTTCAATTCTTGATGAAGAGGTTAAAAATATTAAAAGAAATTAAAAATTCTATGATTTAAATCTATTTTTACTTCTTGAAGTAGAATTCAGAAGTATTGCATGCGGTCCAAACTTTTATTTTTTGAATCCATTTAAATTATCAAAAAAGAGTTGAGAAGTATTCTAACGAATCAAAATTTTTGAACCTACTCTTATCGCGCATATGATCCATAATTTTTTGACAATATTGTAATAGGTATACTACCTTAAGGCATGCAATAAATTTTTTATTTCTGGGAAATAAATTTGGCTCTCAGTATGTGCGAATCATATTTTCCCTTCATAGATATGCCTTTACTGGTATAGATTGAATGATAACTTGACCTCAATTAAAGAAATAAAAACACATAATTAAAGTTTTAAGAAGATAATTTGCAGAAGTAAAATAATGTTTTCAAGTAATGGATACATTATTAAGAAATATTTTTAATATTATTAATATATGACAATAACTACAAAAAAGTCAATACTTTTTTTTCAAAATAATTTTGGGTTGATTTACTTTTAAATATTAAAAAATAAATTAAAACACTTAAAAGTTTAATTAAATCTACTTAGACAAAGATTCTGTCATTTCTTGAAAAATTGTATCTATATTTGTTTTTTATAGCAAAAAAAAAAGTTTACCATAAAAAATGGAATCATAGTAGCTAATGAATCTCCATATTTAGTGAAAGGAAGAAACAATTTCGGCGAAGACTTATTAGAAAAAATGAAAAAAAATCAAAAGTCTATTGGCCAGGTAAGTGCGACGATCAATTTCCAAATTTAAAAAGATTAAAAGTTTGTAGCACTTGAAATATTTTTTCTAGATTGATTCAACCATTGAAACGCAAGAAACTTTTGAAACGATGGCGGACAAGAGTGTAAGATGTGCACTCTGGCTACAAAGTCAAAATATCAAAGAAGGAGATGTTATTGCTATTTGTACACATAATCATCTGAATCAAATATATCCAGCACTTGCTGCTATGTACATCGGCGCTGTTATGAATCCTTGGTGGGATCATGGGTTAACTCCAGGTATCTTAGTCGATTTTATAAAATATTAGATAATAATTGACGATAAGCCGTAATCTGAAATTTTCTTTCAGTTATTGCGAAACATTTTATCAATTTAACGCAACCAAAAATACTGTTCGTAAATGAGGAGTGCTTCAATATAACGAGAGATGTTGCTCGAGAAATCAAGGCAGACTTGAAAATTGTAGTTTTTGGAAAGGCTGAAGGTGCAGAATCTTTTGACACAATAATTGCGAAACAAAAACCTGCTGAAGTACAAAAGTTTCGTTGTGCTAAATTATCGAGTGTAAATCATCCTGCCCTTATTCTATATACTTCGGGAACGACCGGATTACCTAAAGGTGCTCTTCACTCACATAAGTCATTATTCGGAAATATCCAATCAGTGCAAGATATAATTAACAGGGATTGTGTTACTGCAATGTGGTATTCAACTCTATGCTGGGTTACTGGAATACTTTGTTCATTTTCATCAATTTCACTTGGTATGCTGCGAATCATTCCTGGGCCATTTGTGGAGGAGGAAGCATGTAAAATTATTGAAAAGTATAAGGTAACTAAACTAAATTGATTTCTCATTAGAATATGTAGAGGTACAGTGATGGAAAAAGTACCTTGATTTAAAAGAAATAATCTCTTCAATCTCATCAGGAAACTTTTGCTTGATGGTAATCGACTGTCTTGCTTTAGGAATTTATTACCTTGAATCTCGTCATATTGAGTATATTATCTATAATTGGTATAATCAAATTCTTCATCTGAGAAAAACATTTCTGATATACCCTGATGTATCCATATCAGAAAGTTTGATGTATCCATAATCTGATATGGCCCAAGCCTGTATATAATTTCTGACATGTCCTGATATGGCCTGAAATGAAAATGACCGAATTAGGCCATATTAAATTATTGAAAAATTCTTCCATGAGAATAAAAAAAATCTGGAAAACGGTTGATCTTAAAGGCCATCCCTGCAACTTCCCGCCAATTCAACACCTAAACGCTTGAAATTGCACTTATGACGTTTCTGAGCTCTTCGAGCTCAAAAATACAATTTGTGTGTTATTTTGAGCTCTCCGAGCTCAAAGAATTACCTCTTGTATGCTTTAGAGCTCTTCGAGCTTATAGAGCTGATAGAAGTTTAATACAACAGTATTTTTTGAATTTTCAAACTGCAATCATTTCTAAATGAATGAATCGATTTTCACGCAGTTGTCAGTAATCCACGCACTATTTCAAAATCTATGATAAACTTTTGAACACAAACTGATCGAACCGAAAATCTTAGAGAAATTTGGAATGTTCACATTTTCCGAATTTTTTCGATAACTTACAAACCAATCTACCAATTTTCACGTTTTTGATGACGATCGACGTGATTTTTTGGGCTCTAATAATTATTTTTTGTTATACTCGCTCCAGAAGTTCAACTTCTGAGCGCTGGGTGGCGTCCGTAAAGGGACTCTTTTCTAGAGACTTTACCATACCGTCTTTTTTTCACGGCCTAGGCCGTGAAGTTTTACCCCCTCCCTTTTTTTACGAACTTTTCATGTACACGATTTTTTGAAAATTTTGTTTTTGAGATTTCTCAAAATCTAGCGAACCGAATCGATTGAAATTTTCGCGAAATTTAATGGCAATAACACTCTTTGGAACGCCACCTATTTCGATCCGATCGACCAAGCCGGTCAAAAGTTATAAGAGGTTTACATACATACACACACACACACACACATACATACAGCCGCACGGACACCATCGCGGGAATAGTCAGGGAAGCTTCCTAGGACCTCAAAACGTCGAGATCTGATGAAAACTCGATTTTCGAAAAACGGGGTAAAAACAATAACTTCCCGATTTTTGAAAATTTTCAATTTTCTTGGCGGGAAGTTAAAAAACAAATTTTTAAACAAAGTAAATCTGTATCTTTGCTATAGTAAAATTCTTCCGGCAAATTTTATAGCCATCCAAGAATTTCAATTCATTTATCCAAAAGCTGAACGAAGAAAAAAAATATCACACAACTTTCGAATTTGATTAATATGAGTGGTAACACTGCCGGTGTAAATTGTAATATTCGCGATCCGTTTAACCATAGCAAAGAAACATTTTCTTTCGATAATTATCAATAATTATAATTATACGCAATGATAAATTCACGATACACTTTGAAACGGGGTGTTTTGTTTCCCTTGGTCGCCCCTTTTACTCTTAAGGGCGCCACTGGATTTTTGTTCTCAGTTTCCAGAAACTGGACCAGAACATGGAGTGTTAGGTCAGGGTCGTGAGAGATTTGTTGAAAGGAGCTAAGATTAAGACACAGAAATTCATTTAACAAAAATTATTTATTTATCCAATCCCTCTTACAACTGAAATATGGCCAGTATTACAATATATAAAATTTCATGGATACAAACTACACTCACACTCACTCACATACGGTATATTTCTCGCTGTCCAGCTAGACCCTCACGTGGTTGCAGTCCCCGATGCCTACTGGACTCTCACGATACTCTATCTACTTCGCGTCGTCCCCTGGACCTCTAACGCTACTCTAACTTAGTTCGCGCGGTCTCACGGACTCTCACGCCACTGAGCTGGACCTCTGACGTGACTGCACACGTTGTCCACACAGCGCACGCTGTCCCCCAAACTTCACGCTACTCTAAGAGAACTACCCGAAGTTGGATAGTCTCTTTACTCTCACACAAACACACTCAATGCCAATTCCTCAATAACAATAATAATACGAGCGCTCGAATTACAAAATAACACAATTTCCAATATTGTTTTTCTAATTAACCATTTCTTAATAACTAATTATCATTTCTTCTAAATACTAATTTACTGCCGTGTTTTTAATATTACGACACTAAATATTTAAAACAAGAGGTCTTAGTATCTTGAATTAATCCTTATTGTTATGTCCGAGAAATTTATTAAATAGATTTTAATCCTTATTTTAGCAAACTTAAATTAATTGAGCAAACCTAAATATTTTACATTCTTTAATTTAATCCAAGCTTAATTTATTCCAAAGCATTTTGTTTTATCCAGTAATCGGCAATACATTTTGTTAAATTTATTTTTCGACACAAAAGTTAAATTTCGACAAGGGATTATTCTATTGTAATTTATTATATGTTTCTTAAACTTAATATTTCATTTTACTCGAGTTTATTCTATCTCAAAAACTAAGAGACTTTAGCTGCGACCTTGTGTGTCCTCTACTCAGCGTTTTCTCGCACGGACAAGATGGCCGACGCTCTCGCTCGGTCTAGCGTCTTTGTCGCAAGACACATGTAATTTTTTTTCTGATGAAATTTTTGCACATTTTTATATTCTCTATTTTCTTGACTAATTAATCTAGATTTACAATTCTATTGTTTTAAACGATTATTTCCTGAATCTACTATAAATTTTAGTTAAGACAATTATTAATTTTGTGCGCCAATTAATTTACTAAAATAGATTTTACTGTCGAATCAATGCCGGTCTTAAATAATCTGAATTTTACGGTTTACTCAATTCTATTTTCTATTGGCTTAAGCCAAATTATTGTCTATCCATTCTCAATTAAATAAATTTTACACATGGCGAAAATCTGGAATTAATAACCCGACTTAATGCCTAGTATTATCAACCCAGACAGGCCTACGTGTAAAATACAGAGACAAGTTAATTTTCCTAAACAAATTAATTAATAACCCTAGTGCTATTAATTATTTGTCTTATAATTTTTCTAATATTAATACTAATCTTAATTAAATAATATAACGACTAGCGATTGTGACCGAACGCGAAATGGCGGTGACCTTCAGCCGACGTATTGCCTGGCTGACGCTGCCGACCCGAGCAACATAATCAGACATGATAATTGTACCTGGAGTTTTACGTTTTATTATCTTAACACTCGTGCACTCCCTCGACGAGCTGCAACTCCTTTTTACAGGCTGGTGTAAGTTTTTCCTTGGAATAAATCCTCGGCAATTATCTCCTCGGGTTACTGGTTGGCGGCGAAATTTCGGTCATCGTCACTCGTGTTCTGGATATCTCTCTTGAACCTGTAACCGCAAATCGGCGTTAGAATTTATTACAAAATTAAAATTAATTTATGCAAGCTGACAGGCGGCCTAGCAAGCAATAAATCAATTAATTTTTTATCGCTACGTTCCACTTAAGGTGAGCGAAATAAAATAGTTACCTGTGCTCAGTTCTTACTAAAAGTTGCGATGTGTCTAACGAGACTGTTCGGTCACAATGAGTCTTCTCGGTCTTGTCGTTGTAGTTATTTCCTCACTCTGCCTTCCCCACTCTCTCTCTCGGCGCCAGCGCTTCCCCTCGGGGACTTACTTACTACTTCTAAACGAGCTTTAGATCACAGCGCACTGTGAGCAGTCGATAACTAACTAGGTACCGAAATGGGGAATTTACCGAGTAACGATCACTCCATTACAACTTGAATCATAGTGATCAAGATTTGAAGTTAAGTGTAAATTAATTGTTAAGGGTTCATAAATTGCCACTACAATACTTCTAAACGATGAGTTATATCTGCTGCTCACTTTTATCAAACTTGAGGCCAAGCAACGATGCCTCTAAAAAAACAGGGTGCTACTTAATTTAATTCAATTTAGGAAAACTACGAAAAATAACTTAGCTACCTCAAGAAGTAAAAAACTCAATCGGGATTTCGTGGGTGTGGACTGTCTCGCGATGACCGATAAAAGGGATTGCCACTGTGACAACCCAAAAAAATTTTATTAGACCTTTTTTTGTAGAGCGTTCAATTCTCTATAAAGATTAGAACAGCGATATATAAGTAAATCAGTCGTTTGAACAGTAGAAAAATCAGAAGAAGCAAAAAAATTTTTTCCCATGTTATTCTTATGGGAATTAAAAAAATGCGATGAGGATAATCTTAATATTAATATTAAGGGCTCATCTTTTCGCAGTAATTTTTTTACACCCAAAAGAAACTTTTGAGCCTGTTTAAAAAAAAAAAAAATTTTTTTTGTTGGATCACCCTAATATATATAAATCAATTGCTGTTTGTTTGTCTCGCTAAAACTCGAGAATGGCTGGACCGATTTGGCTAATTTTGATCTTGAAATATTTGTGGAAGTTCAGGGAAGGTTTAAACGGTGAGAAACATAAATAATAAGTAACAGAAAATACTAAAAACAACAATTTAGTTTTCCAATACAAAACGTTCCTAGCTGAGAAATGAGGTCCGATCTCTTTGGTCTGTTCCTAGCTGTGAGGTGAGGTCCGATCTTTTTGGTCTGTTTTATTTCCAGTAATTAAAAAAAGTTTCAGTTAGTTGTCAATAAAATTAATAAATTTCAAGCCGATTAATAAAATCTATCATCAGTTTGTCAGTACGCAAGAACTTTTTTATTGTTATTGTTTCAAAATGCCAAGGAGAAGACGACCTGACTTAGGTCGTCGAAGTCAATCAAATGTGCGACGAGCTACCTCACGTTTAAACCGCACTGACGACCATAAATAAATCGCAAGGCAAGTCGTTGAAAATTTGCGGAATCAAGTCGAAGTTTTCCTGTTTCGTGCATGGAAAATTATACATCGCGTGTTCATGAGTCGGAAAACCATCATTTTTATATATTTACGCACCGCAAAAAAAAGACAAAAAATGTAGAACATCAGAAAGCTTTAAATTGATTAAGTGTACAACTGTGTTGCATTTAATGTAATTAAAATTTTGTATTAAGTTTTTACTATGCTTTTCACAAATATATTTAGGTGATACGAAGTTCATGAGGTCGTCTGGTATTATATATATGGGGCATTTCATACCAGATCGACCACTTTTTTAGGTCGACCTCTCAAATTTTTTTGAAAATTTTATATGTTTTCAATACCGTCAAAGAACACCTTCATGAATTTTTTCAAATTTTTTTGACCAATCGTTTCTGAGATATTGATTTTTTCCAAAATTCAAATTTTTTTTTTTAAAGAGCTATAACTTCGCAAAAAATACAGCTATCGGGGTCTCGTTTTTTTCAAAATTTTTGTTTTTAATGCTTTTTCAAGAAAAAAATACCTTCGATTTTTTTGAAAAAAATTCTCAAGACAACTTGGACAAATATAGAAAGTTTTTAGACCAATCCGATCGTGGACAGATGTTTCGTTCTATTTTTTTCTTAATTCAAAAATTTATAACTTCCCGCTAAGAAAATTGAAAATTTTCAAAAATCGGGAAGTTATTGGTTTTACCCCGTTTTTCAAAAATCGAGTTCTCATCAGATCTTGACGTTTTGAGGTCCTAGGAAGCTTCCCTAATTGTTTTCGCGATGATATCCGTATGTCTGTATGTATGTATGTATGTACAATCGCGTGCATTAATTCGGGTAGGTTTCTATGTTTACAGTTTTTTCGTCACTTCTAAATTTGGCCGTTTCTAAACTCTAATCTTTGGAAACTGTAACTTTAGTCGTTTGTAAATTTAGCGAAACGTAAAAAATGATATCACTAAAATGAGAAAAATATAAATAATTTCAAAAATAATTCATGCTTATAACAAAATATGACAAAAGAAAAAACGTCCATGTAAAAAAAAGAAAATTCCTAAATAATGCCGTTTGTAAAATGAGCGAGTTAAAAACTTGGAATTATTAAAATATCGCTAGCTTTAAAACAGTCGAATTAAAAACAAAGAACTATTAAAATTATTACAAATTAAAATGTAAACAGTTGAAAAAAAGAAACATTTAAAAAAATGAAATTAAATAATTGGAGAATAATAAATTTAGCCGATTAAAAACTTCGCCACGTGAATTTAGCGTGAAAGATGTATTAACTCAAAAAAAAAAAGTTTTTTTATTCTGAATCAGTCTAGTGTATATGTATAGAGAATATAGTAGTCGACGAGTACAGTAACGTTAATAGTATATTACACTACAAGGGCAGAAAGTTGAGATTCCTGCACTGCGCGCCATGTGCCCGAGGCGAAGCCGAGGGCATCATGGCACGCAGTTCAGGGCTCTCAAATTTCTGCCCATGTAGTGTATACTATTTTTCTTGCTATGCGGTCGAAAGTACGTTAAAAATTGCGTTGAAAAAAATTGATGCCTGCCCCCGACATTTGCGGCACGAGCGAAGCGAGTGCTGCTGGTCGGGGGGGCAGGCATCAAATACACCTGTCAATAAAATATTATACGGCTCTTGGGAAGTAAAAAAGAAAACCTCAGATCACATGTTTGTTGACCTCGGCTTCGCCTCGGCCAACAATTACATGTGATCTGAGGCTTTTCTTATTTTCCTTCCCAAGGGGTGTAATATACTATTCCGATGGGGATGTTTTGAAGATGGAGTACTCAATTGTGAGCAGATCTTGATAGATCGTAGCACACTTACTTTGTAAATAATTAGTATGATAGTTTAAAGGATGTGATAAATAGCTCCATTATTATGTTGTAGAGATGATGATTGTTCGAAATTCTACAGTAGTAGAACACTCGATTTTTACTCATAAGTCATGAAACAAAGTTACGCAGATGAAATATGACGAAAATTCTAGCTTCTGAGTTTTCGGTATTTTGAATAATTAGTACCGGAGAATACTATTCAGTTATCGATTTTGGCATTGCCAACATCAAACTGAATGTTCAGGTTAATCTTGAATCAATCACATTATTATGACCTAATTTTCTTAACAAGTTTATCTCTAATATAATTATACTTCTTCGGATAATTTTATTCTGATAACTTCCGCTTAATTTCAACATTATCACGCTTTTCTTGGTTAGAAAAGATTTTCTTGACAATTTCGTATTTTTCAATAATGCCACATTGAAAGGGTAATAAACTAGTCTGAAATTTGAAAAAATCAAAAGAAAAAAAATTGGGAAAACAGTTGACCCTAAAAGCCATCCCTGCAATTTCCCGTTCATTTCATACTTAAGTGCATAAAAACTTCATTTATTACGTTTTTGAGCTCTTCGAGCTCAAAAATATAATTATCGTGTCATTTTGAGCTCTACGAGCTCAAAAATCTTGTAAAAGTTTGATAAAACACTATTTCTTAAATTTAAAAACTGCAATAACTTTTGAATGAATAAACCGATTTTCACGCGATTGGTGGTATTCGACGCAGTTTTTCAGGCCTCATAGAGAATCTTTAAGTTTTAATCAATCGAAATAGGAGTTTCGATGTAATTCCAAAAAAAAAAAATTAGAAAAACGGTTCACCCTAAAGGCCATCCGTGCAACTTCCCGCTAATTCCATTCCTGGGCACTTAAAATTGTACTTATGACATTTTTGAGTTTTTTGAGCTCAACATATAATTTATGTGATATTTTGGGCTCGCTGAGTTTATAGAAATAATATTTCTATGCATTTGAACTCTCCTAGCTCAAAAGTCTGATAGAAGTTTCATAGAACACTATTTTTGGAATTTTCAAACCGCAATAACTTTTGAATGGATCAACCAATTTTCACGCGGTTGGCGGCATTCGACGCAGTTTTATTATCCTCATAAGTTATTTTCAGATTTTAATTGATAGAACCAAAAATTTCGGAGTAATCCTGAAAAAACACTTTTTTCGGTTTTCTTTCGTTCACGCTATCTCTCGAACGAATCAACCGATTTTGA